TTTTTTTCACTTAGTTTTGTTGAAGAATTTTCAAGTTTACATGTCATTGAAAAAGCAGTGGTGAGGAACATTCCTCTACAAACTAGTTGCCAATACATTGAAGATATCTAAGCATATCATACACAGAAGAAGAAAGAGGGCCAGGGAGAACCATAGCCCCCTATGCCTCTAGAGCAAAGGATACATTCATAAAGGCACTTAATCGATACAACAGCAGTGGCTTAAGATGTCCGCCTCTATAGGGCGGGACATGGTCTGGGAATAATGATTGTCTAGGAGATGTAGAGTGAAAATCATATATGGGAGGTTTAAGAAAGTGTGCGAATTCTAGGGTCGTAAGACCACCCTGCCCATTTTTTGTGGAACTTTGGAATCATCAGGTGTCTTTGGCAAACATAAATTCCATTAGATGCTGATCATTCAGAAGGGAGGTCACCGTTTGGATAGTGGGCAAGGAGGGTATCTTCCAATTATGGGCTATGGACAATCTGGTAGCTATGAGTATATGAGTGACAAGAGAGTGTGCTGGTGAGAGCCACTTATTGAGTCCAACTCCCAATAGGGCAATTTGTGGACTCAATTTGGCTCGTTGTTGTGTAGAGGAGTTGTTCTACATCAGTGCTGATCTTTTTTGATTATTTTCTGTGTCTCTGCCTGTTCCATTGCCTTATTAGCCTTTTTGGTCTTTATTATATCTGGGATGGTGAGGATAGAACAGAGATTTTGTCATTGATCTGAAACATATCTATTTTTATAATTTGTATATCTTCTTATTTGGGATGGATCCAATATACAGTACATACATTTATACATGATGTGGTGTTTTCTTCATGGTATGTTATTTTTTGTTTCTTCTTCCCAAACATTCTTTACAGGTTTATTTTCATTTTTATTTTTGCCATCTCCAATGTGCGACACGGGAATTCTTGCACATATCCTATGGTTGGTGCATTGGATTTTATGTGTTGCACTTTGGGGATGTTAAAATTGTTAGTTGCAGAACTGTCTTTACCTTTAAATTGCTTTGGTGTAGCAGGAGGTGGACCCAGTGTTGATTAGGAGGAACAATTTTTTACTCTTTTGTGATATAGATATTACATAAATAAATAAAAGCTCATCATTGTAAGCACCCTTTTCAGTTGTATATGGTTTGTCTCAACCCTCCAACTTAGCCTTTTTCAACCAGGGTGCCCAGATACCCTGGGGTGCCTTCAGGTTTCTACGGGGTGCCTTGGCAAAATTCCTAAAAATTGCCCAAATTGTATACAAGCCAGTGGGTGGATGAAACCTGCCTTGTAGTTACACAAAGCAAACCACAGGTTTTCATTGTGCACCACTACAACTTTCTAGCTGCCAGCATCTTAACAGCTTCCCGACTGCCCTATAGCAGAACTACTGCTACAGGATGGCAGTACGTTGATTTTGCATTTCTGGGTAGGGGGCGCGCCCTACCCGTGCTGCCATTTGCGGCTGTAAATCACCGGATCCCAGCCGGAAATTATTTGCCGGCACCCAGTGATTTCCAAAGTTCTCTAACAGGGAGGAGGGCTGTTTTGTTTACTAACAGTTATCCTCCCTGTCGGCTCGGGCACACTGATTTGGATTCCATCCAGAGCAGTGTGATTCCAGTGAAGCACACTGACATCGCCCCCTAGTAAAACACTCCCTGCACACAGTTATCCCTTTGATCGTCCCTCATGTTAACCCCTTCTTGCCCAGTGTCATTAGTACAGTGTCAGTGCTTTTTTTTTAGCACTGATCACTGTATTGGTGTCACTGGGGATGTCAATGACAGCAAGTCAGTTTCCCCAGTGTCAGAATGTCCGCTGAAGTCCCGTAGTCCCACTATAAGTCACTGATCGCTGCCATTACTAGTAAAAATGAAAAACAAAATCCCAGTATCTATACCACCATTTGTAAAAGCTATAACTGTCAATTAAACCAATTAATTTACACGTATTGAGATTTGTTTTAGCAAAGACATGTAGCAGAATACATTTTGGTGTAAATTTATGATGAAATTTGATTTTTTACAGGCGGACATTTAATTTGGGTGAAGAGTTGCATGACCACGCAATTGTCAGTTCAAGTAATGCAGCGTCGTAACGCACAAAATGGCCTGGCCAGGAAGGGGGGCAAATCCTCAGGAGGGCAAGTGGTTAACAACCAATGACATCATTAATTTATAAGGAGGACATTGGGTACCTGCACAGCATCCTTGTTTGCCTCTTCCTGCCCCTCTCCATCAGCACTGGGATCACATTAGCTGAGTGAGGGAGAGAAACTAAGGTAAAGAAAAATGCTGGATTACTAGTTAGTACCAGTGTGCAAAAGTGTATTTGCTTTGGAAGAGCAAATCACCTCTAACGTGGGTGTCCTACATGTGTGGACGTTGCTTCGATATATAAAAGTTATTCATTTCAATTTTTACATTTTAGAATGGGGTGCCTCCAGATTGTGCATGCTTTTAAAGGGTACCTTGATCGAAAAACACTGGTCTAACTGATACATCTGTAGGACAGCTTGTTTTGTTGAAAAACAACAGACTTACTGGCCAGATCACCAGCTGAAAATAAAAGAAAGAAAACCTAAAATGAAAGGAATGCAGTTTCACATATAATAATTGTTAAGATACAATATAATAAAAGTTTGCTTTATAGGTTTAATACCACTCTAAACACTGCAGCACATTTTTTAAGTATACTGGAAAAGAAATCTAAAAAAAACCCTCTTTGCCATCTTATATACATGAGGGTAATAACTGCTTCTAACAGTCTAGCACACACTTTGTCTGATCTAATGCCTGGAAGACCAAAGGGGGGTTTATAAATTTTTGTTTACATTTTCAGTTCCACTTTAATTCATCTAATGTGAAAAATGTACACTTGCACAAAAACACTAACTTGTAACATCAAAATCAAATTAACAATAATGATCAGTCATAGAATACATGCTGCTAAGCTAATTAAGAGTACTTTATAAAAGAAATCAGAATTTGCAGATGGTAATCCGTTCTCATAGCAGTATCCTTCTGTGGCAAGCAATTTTGGCCTTATTGCAGATCAGTAATTAGAAAGATATTGGCATGTAACTAATTAAAATATATTGGCAGAGCATTAATTAGTACGGTGTTAGAATTTGATATATCAGGATAATATTCCTATACTGAAACACATCTCCTAACAAATCAATTATAATTCTTTTAATACAGCCAGTTGAAATAGCATATCACTTTAAATTTTAAGAGCTGAATTCATCATGTTATTGTAATGTACCATGAATAGCTAAAATACTAAAAGGCACCTGACTAGAAAGATATTTTGCTTTACTTTCTAACTGTAAAATGATTTTATAGCAATAATTGCTCATTTCTAAATTTGAATATGCATCACATATCAGCAACAGATGCATGTATTTTTTACCACTTGCCAAACTATAGTACATTAAATTATCCAAAGGGAACATTTTAAAAGGTTTTGCAGGTTGCCAGTTTAGAGTTACACAAGAGTTCTGGTGCTAGAATTATTGCTCTCTCGCTCTGACATTAGTGGCAATACGACACGTGTGGTGCAATCACTCTTTACATATGCGTGTGGGACCGAAGTGTGCATTTGCATGTGAGCATGGGGGGGGGGGGGGCGCTTGAAATTTTATTTAAAATTTTATTATTAATAATTTTATTTAAATTTATTTTTTTAACCACTGTACCTTTAACCCAATTGTTTTCACAAGTGATGAACAACATCCCTTGTAACACCATGGGCCATGACAGGTCCTCTTTATGGAGAGATCTCATCTATTAAACCTCAGATCTTTCTTCTAGCTTCTAAAGCATCTGATCACATCAAGATTGGTTTGATCAGGTGCTTTTGCATGTTGGTAATGGCTTGTAAACATCAAATCGAAACCAGAAATGACTAAATCCTCATCGCTTGTCATTTCTGACATCTCACAGTGGAAGGAACAACATCAGTTCCTCTCACTGTGTCCAGGGAAGCAGATGCCGCTGGTTGCATTTTTACTGGGCATTTGAGTCTGGCAAATGCAGTGGCAGCGAGGAGGGTGACCTCCTTCCCCCACCTATAAAAGTATTCCAACTGATGTATAGCTGCTTGGATTCATTGTACTTGGTGCAGAATCACCGGCTGAACAAAACAATACTGGGATCATGGCTGTAGCTTCAACCATATTCCCAGTAAAACCACCTCAATACGAGGCTGGATATATACATGCAGTGGTATTGAGGTGTGTAATGAAATCATTTGTAAATAAGGCCTTATTCACAGTGGCACTCCTGTGTTCAGCTTTTCTAAATGCAAAACAATTAATTTGGGAAGTATACAGAACTTTAATGCCTCCAAGATGTCTTTTTCCCGTGCTTACATGTTCCTGCTTTAAAGCAAGTCTAGCTGTGTTTACTTGCATTTTACATGCATTTAGTTTCTAATAGGATGCTGGACAAACCTAATTCTATTTTCTCTAAATGCAGGTGGTATATATAAAAACACTAGTATTGGAATGCCTGCCTTTACACGCACATGAACTTTAATGGAATCCCAGCCTTAGTCCGAGGGCTCAATATTGAGTTGGCCCACCCTTTGCAGCTATAACAGCTTAATTTCTTCTAGGAAGATTGTCCACAAGGTTTAGGAGTGTGTCTATGGGAATGTTTGACCATTCATCCAGAAGCGCATTTTTGAGGTCAGGCACTGATGTCGGACGAGAAGGCCTGGCTCACAGTCTCCGCTCTAATTCATCCCAAAGGTGTTCTATCGGGTTGACTCTGTGCAGGCCAATCAAAATTCTCCACCCCAAGCTCTCTCATCCATGTCTTTATGGACCTTGCTTTGTGCACTGGAAGGGGCCATTCCCAAACTGTTCCCACAAAGTTGGGAGCATGAAATTGTCCAAAATTTCTTGGTATGCTGACGCCTTCACTGGAACTAAGAGGCCAAGCCCAACCCCTGAAAAACAACCCTACACCATAATACCCCTCCAGCAAACTTTACACTTGGCACAGTGCAATCAGGCAAGTACCACTCTGCTGGCAACCACCAAACCCAGACAAGTTCATTGGACTGCCAGACAGAGAAGTGTGGTTCGTCACTCCAGAGAACACATCTCCAGTGCTCTGGAGTCCAGTAGTGGCGTGCTTTACACCACTACATCTTGGTGATGTAAGACTTGGATGAAGGTAGTCGGCCATGGGAAACCATTCCATGAAGCTCTTTACTCACTGTTGTGCTAATCTGAAGGCCACACGACATTTGGAGATCTGACCAAATTTGGAGAGCTGACCCCGCTCTGTAATTTTATGTGGCCTACCACTTCGTGGCTGGGTTGCTGTTGTTCCCAGTTGCTTCCACTTTGGTATAATACCACTAACAGTTGACCGTGGAATATTTGGTAGCAAGGAAATTTCACGGATGGACATATTGCACAGGTGACAACCTATCACGGTACCACGCTTGAACTCACTGAGCTCCTGAGAACGATCCATTCTTTCACAAATTGTTTGTAGAAGCAGTGTGCATTCTCTTTTAATAACCTTAATTATTCTATGTGTTATTTTAAAAACCCAAAATAAACAGAAAGTAGTGATTTAAAAAAAAAAGGAATTTTTGGTTACACTTATTTTTTTGCCCATTTTATGTTGCATTCCAACAATTCTGCTCCCAAATGCATAATACATTTAAATTGTATCCCAGTGTGTCTAATTGTTTTTTTCTGTTCTGCTCAATGTTTTTTTTGTCACTTAGAAACATTGAAAAGTACTTTTACATCTAAAACAATTGTGCCACATATAAACAAAGTAAACAGTACTGGATAAGGACAGTAAATCAGGCAGTACATTATAAATTAGTTTTTTTTTCAACCAGCGTGTTGAACAAAAAAAATGTGCTGATTCCCCCATCCACACATTCGATGTGGATCGGGAAATCCTCCCCGCTGAGTTCTCGCTGCGGGTAGCCTTTCCTGCCATCAGAACACAGTGATCAGTTTGCTGGCTATAGCACTGATTGTTCAGAAAAAAAACATGACTTTTTTACAACTAGGGTGACCATACACAGGTCCAAATTTTTACTGCCCCTGCTGAACCAGCCAAATTTTGATCCATGCATGGCCGGGCTAAGTCTTAGCTATTTGTGACCTTGCTCACATGTTGCCATTGTTTTAGAGGGAAAACACAGCTGTATTTTGACATCTGCTAGCAATTTATAACAATCCATTACATATATAGTATGAATGCCTCTATTAGGCTATTAGATTTTTAGCTGAGGCATTTGCAACCCCTATAAAATGCTGTTCACTGGTCCAGAAACCTGCTAAGCAATAGGGAGGTCAAATCTCTGTCAAAAACCTCCTACCCTCTTAGAATGCTAAGCAGTACTTTGTAAACATGGACAACTACATTTATATTTACTTGTACTCTACCACACATAAGTGCTAATTCTAGAGTGAGCTGCTGCCAACACCTCACGTATGTGTCCCCCTCATCAATACCAGGTAATATTTAAATCAAACAATGCTCCAAAATAAAAATTCAAAACAAGAGAGGAGAATCCTAATTAACAATGACTCTACTAATCCAATACTATTAAAAACACTGAAAAATGATTCATTTAGTAAGTGCACACAAAATCCCAGTGCTTTAAAAAGATTTCAAAATTATTACAATTATTATAGAAAACCAAATTACAAATAAGATAACTATAACAGTGACTGTATAGATAGAAATGGATACCACAATTTCATTGCTGTTAGTGCAGTAAAATAGCAAATATACTAATGACAGCAGTAACTATATATATACAAAACTGATACCACAATCTCAGTGCTCAAGTGAAACAAATAATACAGTGTATATATCAAACAAAATAGGAGTCCTCAGTGCAGTTATAGTGAGTCAATGTCCCACTTTTCAAGTAGTCCTAGGACATTTGTGCTCAAAGACTCAGCAGTCCACCATTCCAGCATTAAAATCACCATATATCCATGCTCCACAACTGTTCAAAGTGGCTGCTCACCTCTGTATTAGATCTATACTTTCACACAGGTCATATGGTGCTCAGATCTCTTGCCCATATAATGGACACCACTCTTCCCAATGGGTATTGGTCACTTTGAATGTCTTCTCTCACCCTGTATCAACTGATGACAGTACTCAGAAAAATAAAAATAAACTGCCTATGATGTAATAACATTTAAAATAAACTTTATTCAACTTTAAAATCCCCACTTACATTATACATGGAGTGTATTGTGCATATATCATAAAAAGAGCTTATTGCTCGCCAAGCTTCCGGTCTCGGAAATGATGTCACCTGGCTCCGCCTCACATGTTCCATCACCGATCGCATGACTTCCTCAGGGATGGAATAGTGGAGTCACTGTTAATTAAGTAGGATTCTCATCGTTTGTGTTGAATTTTTTTATTTTGCATTCAATGGTAAGTCTGAAGTCAGCAAAGTGTAGCACTGTACAGTAGGGGCACAGAGACACAAAGTGCAGTTCTGTAAATTGGCCATTAGATGTCACCATATTTAAGGCTGAGAACCCTATAGTGAGAGTAGGCAGGGTAGTTGCCTAGGTAGCTGTTGGAGGCCACTAGAGTAGTGAATAGGGTGCACCATAGATAGTGAGGAAATGCTAGCCTTGCCCCTGCCAGTGTGGGGCATCTTGAGTAATAGGTCTTATATAAATAGTTGGGAGGGAGTCCATCTGGGAAGTTGGTAATGGCAGTGCAAGAATGGTAGGTATGCAAAGATATATTCTTTAAGGCTTCTGGTTGCTTCCCCTTTAGAGGGAAGCAAGAAAGGAGAGGTGCACAACGAATACGACTACTCATATTCCTTTGCTTGGGATGTAGGACTCTGGCAAGCCCCTAAAGGTAGAGTCTGCTCCTTGACTTAGCTCTCATTTCTGCTGTTCTCTGTTTGCAACTAAAGAACATGCTACCTTTGGGGACAACTAAATACATATAGACAGTATATGTAAATCAACTATATTTCAGTAAGGGTTAAAAGACTATCCTAGTGTGGATTCTTCCTTCTCCTAACCTCAAGATGGCAATGTTTCCTGGAAATGAACGGGTGCTGGGCAAGGCTGCTACTGGGGTCCATTGCCATGAATCCAAAGGAAGGTATGGAATGGACTACTGGGTGGTGCTAGTTGGGCCAGGCCATGCACTGCTAGGGGTGCCTCTGTAAGGAGAGAATCCTGTACCCATAGTGCCTCAGTGAGTTTAGGAGACCAACCTATGTTGGGCTGGAATGGGTTAAAGCGTACAGGCAGTGGTGTATCATCCATAGGGGCAATGTGTGCGGTGTACATGGGCCCCAAAGGATGGGGGGCTCACTGTGCCCTCACATTTCGCCCAACATAGGGAGACTCCAGTTCCCTTCATTTTTTTCTGGGCAGGGAATCGGGCTGTGCATAACAGTTAACACCATGACTGCTGGAAGTGGAGAAAAGTGGGAGCCGAACCCCACAGCTGCCGTGTGCAACTTCTTCTTTATCAGCAGGGGGCAAGCAATCCTCCTGAACTGAGTGGCATCCACATGATGACATGTAAGAGTCACTTAGTCTGGGAATACTGAGAGCCCAGGCTGCATGATGATGTGCTCTCAAAGGGTGGGTCTGTAACAGAAAGGTTATACGATAAATTGGCCGAAAAGCATAAGGTTTCACTTTAATTTAGGTTTATAAGTGTTTCCTTTTACAGTTCAAACAACAACACACAACCTAGGTTTGTCCTTCAATGTCTGACTTTTTTTAATCCTTTTTTTAATCAGAGAAATCAGATGACATGCATTGATATCCTCAATTACAAGTGAAAGATTGTAAATGAAAGCATTTTCTTTCTTGGGACACAGCCTTTCTGCTCCCTTTATAGTCTTAATTGAATTTTGCAAGATAGCAGGACCATGCAATATGCTGCTGAGCAAAAGGGGCCCAGATGTGAAGCTGATCAGATGGAAGGAACAAAATAAAAAAAAAAACAATAGAATGATGCAGAATTCCTAGGAAGATAAGCTACCTCTGACTCAATTCCCCTGTGTTCTGCATTGTGTCATTTTGATGTGATGTTGACGCACTTTCCAACTGCTACAGGTTCAGTGTGGTGCATATCATCATCTGGCTTAGTTACTCGTTCCTACTTTGGGAATTTTTAGAACCAAAAAAAAAATCCCCCCCTAGTACATGTTGCATGCTTACAAACATGTATTTTTGTTTAGTACAGCTGTACTGTTACTATTAGACAGTAGTTTAAAAGCAACTAATTTAATATAAAAAGAAGAACTCAGGCGTTTACTCTGTTATTGGTCGCACGTTATTGTGATTTGCGCAGCTACTTATTCATGGCACAGATGCAATGTACATTTAGGAACTAGCTCCATGGAAAGAACAAAGGCACTTGCTTCATAACTGTAGACATTCTTTTATTAAAGTGTCATTAAACCCACATCATACAAATCTATCAATAAATGCTGTATTGCATGCTGATCATACTCAGTGGGGTCACCTGGTGTGATAAAACATGGTGTCAACTCCCCCCAATATTTTTTTCCCCACATACAGTAACACTGCATATAATTGCAATAGCAGTGCTGTTAATCCTCCCAGTGTAAATCATCCAGAGTGTATTCCCTCCCTCCCATGTTAATCTCTCCAGTGTACTTCTCCCAGGTTAATCCCATTTAATGCCCTCCTAATGTAATCCCCCACAGTGTATCCCCCCATGTAAATCCTCCCAGTGTAAATCCCTCCCTAGTGTAGTTCCACCCTATTGTAATCCCCCCATGTAATCCCCCTCACGTAAATCCCTCCAGTGTAATCCCCCCTAGTGCAATCCCTCCCATTTAATACCCCCCAAGTGTAATCCTCCAATGTAATCCCCCCACCGTGTAATCCTCCCCCTATGTAAATTTCCCAAGAGTAACTTCCCCATGTAATCCCCCCAGTGCAATCCCCCCAGGTTTAATACCCCCGTGTAATCCCCCTAGTGTAATCCCCCCAGTGTAATCCTCCCAATGTAAATCCCCCCAGTGCGCAATCTCTCCAATGTTAAGCCCCCAATGCAATCCCTCCAGTGAAAATCTTCTACCCAATGTACCAATGCTCACCTGCCTAGTTTACATTTTCCTCATTACAAAGCTCAGATCAGCATTGCTTTCCAGACAGATATCCTTCTGTTTAGTCTCCTTCTCCTTCTCTTGAAAATGTCATGTCAGAGTGGAGGAGGAGCCTAGGCATTGGTTCTTAGGTTAGGTATGCAGCACTGAGCAACCGGCACCTGTCCTGTGACAGGCTTGCAATTGCCTGTCACACACAATAATGGAGCGAGCGTCATTGCGCCATTGGTCTGGTCCCCAGAGGATATGCTGGGCAGCACAGCGCAGGTGCCAATACTAGCAAGCCCTGCCCGGGCCCGCACATCTATATGGGGTGTCCCTCTCTCATGGCAGCTTCGGGTGTCACCTCTCTTGCGGGTTCCACACCCCCTGCACCCACATAGTTATGCCACTGGTCATA